TTCTTTTTATTAAAGGCGACACGACCCTGCGCTATCCTCTGTTTTATATCCCTACTACTCCCTCCGTCTTGACTTATCTGACTTCCTAGATATCTAAAGTTTCAAAGTTGACACAAAATAATAAACTTTCTTTCTTGACGAAAATTCTAAGAATCATAAGGTACAGTAGGAAAAGTGTACACGAACGAAGTGAATCGCGGCAAGGTTTTGTCATTAATGCCGTTCCTCTTGTCTGATAAAGTCAACATCGAAGTTTCCTGCTCTATTGTACCATCTACATAACTCCTACACGCTTTGACCATTTAGGCTATGTTGGCAGTATTGTAATATTTTCAGAGTAATCGCAGCGAAGTTAAGAAATCGTTTCAATTTTACCATTTTGAATTTATTTTGACATTGGGCAGTGGGCAATTAAAGCCGCCTAAGTCCATCACAGACCCGATGGCATTTCTATTAAATAATAAGTAGTAAGTCTTGAGATCACCCTATACATAGTCCCATCTATTTTGAAGCCGATTTTAATGAGTTTTCCATTTGAATTTCGTGCATGGCAACCATTTAGACTAATGGATTTCGAAATCGATTCCTTTCGAGTCAGTGAGTGTTCTTGAAAATTTTATAAACCGAATGTCGAAACTAATGCATGTGGTGTTAAATAAAAATGCAAAAAATCGACACGACAAAATAGGTCGATGGGCTTACAACTATTTCACACCAAACTACAAAAGAGAAAAATAAAACCAATGTGGCAGAGTAATAATAAAAAAACGCAATTTTTAATGGAAAACGCCGCGATTTCATTAAACGCTGGAAAATCACAATATCGAAATGTATTCATCATCATCATCATAAGATAGTTAGACCGGTTGGATACGCATTACCATTCTTTTCTATCCTGCGCTAATCTTCGCATTTTCCCAAAGCTAGAACAGTAATCTAATCTAGGTCTACCCTTCTTAACTTCTGTTTCTGCTTCTAATACGTCTCTGACTAGACCTTTATGCCTGAGAAGGTGTCCTACCAACCTATCTCGCCTATTTTTTATTGACTTCCATAGAGTTCTCTGTTCTCTTACACTTTCTAATACCTCTTCATTTGTAACCTTCTCTATCCATGGTATCCTCATCATTCGCATGTAGCATCACATTTCGAACGCTTCTAACCTTTTCTTGACCCTGCGCTATCCTCTGCTTTACTACTCCTTCCGTCCTGACTTATCTGACATCCTAGATACCTAAAATCGGCCACTTCTTCTAATTTTTCGTCTCCTATCTTTATATTCCCTCTTTCCCTGCCTTTCCATCCCCTGCATACCAGTATTTTTATTTTATTTTTCATACAGTACTGTTTTGTCAATATCGCTTCCATTTTGTTTAAAGCTATCTCTAACTCCTCTAGTATAATCACTTTAATAATGTGTGCCACTAGTAGTATCAAATTTTCTGTAGTACAGGTACTTAGGGTATCAAAGATATTTTTCTGAAAATATTATTTATGTAAATAAATCTCTAGATTTCATCGGGAGACTTAGTAATTTTTTGGTAAAATCATTTCTTTAGTTAAGCTGAAATAACATAAGAATAGGTGACACCGAATTTGAATCGGCTTCATTACTTTCCAGAGGTTTCCAGTTAAAAAAAAATGCATCTATATTTTATCTATAAAAATTTCCTCAAAAGGAAGGCGACAAATTTAAGTTTTTCAGTACGACACATTTCGTCACCGATTTTATGAAAACATTGAAAAACTCTCTCAGAAGTATTGCCGCCGTTACAGATGACCAGCGATGAATTTACTTTTACTTTCTTTAAACACCAATTACAGCTTTTTAGATGATTGTTACTATTTTAAATTTTAAAGATGTCCTATGAAACCTCTGTAAATTTAAAATAGTAGTGAATTAAAAAGCCTGGATTGGTGTTTAAACAAAAGTAATAATAAATTCATCGCTGGTTACCTGTAGCAGCGGAAATACTTCTGAAGTTCTCGGAAGATGTCATAAAATCAGTGATGAAAAGTCAAAATCTTACCGTACCTACTTAAATTTGTCGATTTCCTGAAGAGAATTTTTATAGATAAGTGCAGTTTTCTTTAACTGAAAATCTATGAATATAGAATTGCATTAAAAGCGCTGGAATGACCTCATTTTTGATTAACTGTTTTTTATTTTGGCTAGGTACCTACAAATTCTTGACATTAGAATTATGTTTCATTTTTTATCATTTCCTTAAGACAAACATATGTGTGTGAGAAAAATTTTATTAACATATTGTTTTAAATAGCAATAATTAAGGGGGTTGGGAGAGAAGCAGATGTGGACAAAAGGGGAAAAGCTCAATATTCAGGTACCTAGAAACTTTAAAATTGATGATGGTCCTACAAAGACGAAACAATACGAAATGACACCAGTGTTCTGGGGCTGAAATAATTGTAATTATTTATCTTTTAATACGTGTAATTATAACTGAAATAGATTTTTCGAATTGAAGAAAATCCAAAGTTTTGATTTTTTTTAAACACCTCATACACTTGAAAGGATTCATTAGGTAACTTTGGCCCCATTTAAGCGTAATTGTACCTCCTATGGTTTAGGAGAGCTCCATGCTGACATCGGATTTCAATCAACGATATTTTCGTTAAGTTCCATGGACGTCGTTTTAAATGTTTTTAGCAATTCTTCGGATGCGTCTTCAATAGGCAAATAAGCAAAAGCTACGAGTATGCTAATGTGCCGTTTGACATAATATATGATAGTGATATACGTTGACATTAAATCAATAAACTGTAATCAAAATTATATTTACCGTAGGGTAGGTTCACGGTCTGTCCTGATTTCGCTTTTGTTTACTTCCGCTTTTATCCATGATTCTAATTAAGACGTTTTAGATAATTTATTTTTCGTAAATTCAATTTTTTCGAGCTGGGAAGTTTAATAAATCAGACGGGTTTAATTATAAATTAACATGCTGTTTTTATAACTTTTGAAACGGAGTTTTCAAGCTGTTTTACAACCACTATTGAATGAACGTTGGTGATATAGATATGGGTTACGGAAAAAAAACCCTTAATCAAAAATGAGGCCAGGTTGTCAAAAAAGTTTCAGTAGAGAGAGAAGGAGAATGACAGAGAGAGAGAAAAGAAAAATCGAAATGATGCTTGAATTTTCAGTGGAACAACGTTTATCTGCCTTTCGTTATACATATATTAATTAATGTTTTAAAACTTTCCAAGTTTCTAAGCTATTAAAAAGTTTGCATTTCGTGCCTGGCAGTATCTACTTGTTTTCTCTTCCCGTAGGAAACTTTTCTGGATGTTAATTTAACTTCAGTTTTCAAGCTGGAATATTCCAGTTCCTTTCTAGTCTTCGTGCTCACAAATTGAGTCTTTGAAAAGGCGCTGCTTTTCCTTTTATCATTCTTCATACATTTTTTTTTCTTTTTAGTTTCATTTTTGGATGGTGCGTACTTGCTTTCTACCTTCTTACCTAGTACTACACAGTCGCGTCTCCGCCAAGTTATAATTTCTTTTGAGATGCATTCTTGCGAATTAAGAAATTGAGATTAATGATAACGTTCCTGCCGTAAATTTATTAATCCGAAAGTTAATTTTTGTGCATTTCATTAATAATCACGAAAGAAGACGAAAACTACCAGACGCGCTTTGAAATTTGTAAAGCGGAGGAAATTATAAATTAGTGAACGCTTAAGTTTATAAAGCGGTTCACCAAGATATAGTAACAGAACGAATAGGAATTGCACAGGTAATATTTGCTCCGGTGAAATTATAACATGCTTATGCTTTGTTCCAACAATTCGAAAACGAATACCTTACCTAATTACTAAGATAAAAGAATAATAATTTAAGTTCCCTTGTTTACCGAATAAAATAACAGAGCAATTATTATTAGGTTTCTGAATTTGTGTAGAGTGGAAGTGAAAACTGAGAAAATGGGGAAAAATTTTTCAATTCAAAACTTTTAAGATTACCTTTCTTTTGTCACGCTTTTTGTTTTGCTACAACTCGTACATGTATATTATACATATTTTTTGAAAACAATTATTAAGACTGATCTTTGCTGTTTCAATTGATGCTAGGTACCATTAGCATTATGATTTGTATCAGTATTTGTGATTAGTGGGTTAATCACGAAGAACAAACATCGATAAAATAAAGTAATAAATTTATGAAAATGTGAAATTGCCAGAGCAAAGCAATATCAAACAGTTTTTCTCGCTAAGGATTCTTTCCAGGCGAAATGGAAGTAACCAGCAGGTAAAGGTAATGGGATGCGAGTTTCATACATAAGACATGTGGGCGTCCCTAGTTTTTACCCAAAATGTTAAAGGAATAAAAATGACCACAAGAGCGACCGACCTTTTCAGAATGAAAGAGAGTGGGGAGTTGTCTCTATCTCTTCATAAAATTTTCTTTACTTTTCACAAGTCAATTTACGTTTATTGCGAAATTCGGGTCAATAAAGTGTAAAGTTATGCGATTCGGAGTCGAAATTTCGAAGACCAACATTCAAGCATTTACGTGGCAACCAATTGTCTTCAGAAATTTCCATTAATTAATAAACTAACTAACAAAACCTAAAAAAAACCCAAACTGCAATGTTATTCGATGCAGCACATCGACATTATTCAATCACTAAATAATACTCCTTTATGTGTTGATTTGAATTTACTTGCTTAGCCTAGAGTAAGAAACCTAGCAATCTTCGAGCGTCAAATCTCTCGCTCGACGATATCGTTTTAATAAAGTTGTATGGATCTTTACAAAACGATGGTACACTAAACGATAAATGAATGGAGTTTATGGAATTTTACGCATGTTTTGTTCATTCCTGAAATTGTAACCGAAAACTGAAATTTTAAATTGTTTTATTCACGGCTAACTGATAGATGGACAAACAGACAAACAAATCCATGCTATTATATATTATTATCCCAATTTGAATTGATTCTGTAGGGTCGTACAACCCTCTTGTTTATTTCTAGTCGTAAAACAATCCTACGACGTTCAAGTGTACGACGAATACGTCATTTCTGGAAACACTGCGGTACTAAAGTGCAAAATTCCAAGTTACGTGGCCGAATATGTTATGGTAACGTCCTGGATTCAGGACGGGACGAATAACATCTATCCTAACACGGACATCGGAGGAAAATACATAGTCCTTGGGAACGGTGACCTCTACATAAGTAACGCAGGACCTAGCGATGGCTACAAGAATTACGCCTGCCGAACTGTGCATCGACTTACAGGTAAAGTGATAGGCAAAACCAATCACTTAAACGAGACTTTTAAAGTAAAAATTACGAGTTTAAGACAGATGGAACGTAAGGGTGGGGAAACTTACGATTAGAAGTTGGTTTATAGTGTACAGAAGTAGAGGTAGTTTAGAATCTCGTGGGTCATACAATATGAATACCTACAATAAAGTCCGTCCTACCGCATTTTGTGGCCCAGGACATTTTAAGAATACCTCTGGCATAACTATTAGAATTATTGTAATATATATAGTATTTATAGAAAGAGCCTTACCTTTTGCTCACAAAAATTGAAGCAATTCCTTCAAGGTATATGCATAAAAAAAAGGAAAAGGTTTTGCTTGGAGGGTTTGCCTTAAAGTAAAAGGTTTTACATAATTTTTATTTATCAAAAACTAAAGGATTTGCTTCTAAAAAAAAGGAATCCAGGTTCACAACAACTTTTCTCGCTCTTTTAAACTTTACGTAGCAGCTCAGGAATCACACAGCTTGTAACACAAAAATTTATGTATTTGTAGGACTGTTTTTGTGTTAAAATCTATCTAAAAGGTCTTGTATAAGTAATCCTTAGTTGTGTGGTCCCACTGTTGTGCTTGGTATGGCTGATACGGTACATTTATGTACAAGAAAATACTACAATTCAAGACGTACACCACAAGAATCAGATTTTAAAACGTTATTTAGATTTGAGGAGAGAATATCGTGTGGTTGACGGACCACTTTATTGCCGAGTATCCCGAAACACGTGGAGCAGCCATGTCACCTGTATCGAAAATTAAAAATATTTATGAATTATTGTGCGAACCATTTTAAATTTACTAACTTTCAACACTGCACAAGTAAATCAGGAATGTATTAAATAAATAAAATAAACAGCTGGTACGGAACATACATACGTACGTTGATTGCATAATGCAAATTTCAACTTAGGGTCGAATCTGTACCTTTTACTTTATTAATCCGAAGCATTTCCTTGCAAGGAAAATGTATAGATTATGAATACGAATTGTAGCAAAAGCTTTTACTTCTACTTTTACTTGAAAGTAAATGCTTTATTTTTATAAATACGGCCTATTGTCAAACAATAAATAATTCACTATATGTCTTCCTTTGTTAATAGTAGAACAAAGTGTTGGTTAAAAAGGAAAGGAAAATTATTTGACAGGAACTACTTCATTTTTGTTGTTAAAATTTTGTAAATTTTTTTTATTAGTCATTACAATGGTAATGATTAATGGAAAATATTTCTACTTATCACAAAATGAATGGATAACGAAAAATTAATGTATTATTTGCAACCCAGCTTTTCTGGCACGTCTAATTGATTATTTATAAATTGTGTAAATATCAGGTGAAATTCAACTAAGTACATATCCAGGAAGAGTTATAATAACCGAGCCTAAAGGGAGTGTCCAGCCGCGAATCACGGTGGACAAGTACAATTCGCGACGGGCTGTTATAGGGGGTGATGTAACACTTCCCTGTGTCGCCCAAGGTCATCCTGTGCCAGAATATCATTGGAGTCGCGAACTTCAAGATCAGACAACTTCCGTGCCCGTGGCACTTGGAGAAAGGATCAGCCTTATTGCTGCCGGTCTCCTTAAAATATCTAAGGTAGGATACTGATTTAGTAGTCAAAAATGGGATAAGTAAGAACATAATAATTTAGTTAACCACAAGAGGGTAGCTTTCTTTTGTTATTGTATATAGAAGGCATTCGGAAGTATCAACACCAGCATAAGGTCGCCAGTCCTAAGACTGAATGGACACGCACCTCCACTCTTTCCTATCCTGAGCTAATCTTCGCATTTCCCTAAAACTAGACCATCCTACACTATTTGCGAACAGTAATCTAATCCAGTTAATGAGGGAAAGTTGTTGCTGTTGTCACACCCCCACAGCAACAATTTTCCCTCATTAACTTGAGGTAGTTTATAGTGGGAAAAAATTAAAATGAATTTTCACATTAATACATTCGATATCATCCCCTATTAAATGTCAAAGTGGTTCATGTATATAGTATTAAAAGGTTGTACCGTTTTGCGACATTCTTTCGTTTCTTTTAAGCCTCACATTTCATGTATGTGGAAATATAAATGATCTTAATAGGATTTATTAAAAAGCTTGCCGGCTATTGCGTTTTTTCTTTTTAATTCCACCTGCTAAGTTTCCCTTTTGTAATAGCCATCTCATTCGAATGCCATTAGCAAATTACTTTCCGGTGTTTATTCAGCTGGTACCCATTTCCGGAATTAATCTGACGATTAGCATTAAAAATCTGTCGACGTATTCCCGTTGCAGGTAAGATTAGAAGACCGAGGTGTTTACATTTGCCACGCGAATAATTCCGCGGGGGAGGAAAGCGTGAGAGTAACGCTCGAGGTGACCGCGCCTTTATCGGCTCACATGCAACCCCAAACGCAGACGGTCGATGTGGGGAGAGAGGCGAGTTTTCATTGCGTGATCGGGGGATATCCGGTGTCTCAGGTCGCGTGGTTACACAATGCCAAGACCATCGTTTCCGATGCCAAAGTCGAAATACAAAACGACCTCCCCAAACTGACCATCAAACAACTGTCGAAAGAAGACAAAGGAATGTACCAGTGTGTAGTTAGCAACAATTGGGATCAAGCAGAAGCGATAGGGGAATTAAACATAGGAGACGCCGGTCCTGAATTAACTTACTGGTTTTCTGAGCAAACCCTTCAACCTGGGCCTACGGTATCATTAAAGTGTGTTGCTAGCGGTGCTCCTCCCCCCAGATTCACTTGGTCACTTGATGGATTTCCTATTCCCGATAGTCCTCGTTTCCTTGTTGGCCAGTACGTTACTGTACAGGACGACGTAATAAGCCACGTGAATATAAGCAACATCAAAGCCGAGGATGGGGGTGAGTACACTTGTACGGCCCAAAACAGCGTGGGAAAGGTGTCCCATAGTGCAAAAGTTAATGTCTATGGTCTTCCATTTATCCGTGAGATGCCGAAAGTTGTCGGCGTGGCTGGGATGGATCTGGTGGTGAAATGTCCGGTTGCTGGTTATCCGATCGAAACTATCTCGTGGGAAAGAGATGGACAAATCCTACCGATTAACAGGAGACAGAAAGTTTTCGCTAACGGCACGTTGGTTATCGAACAGACGCAGCCGAGTGAGGACGCCGGGACATACACGTGCCAAGTTCAAAACAAACAACGGAATTCGGCCAGACGTAATGTCGAAATTCGAATTAATGGTAAGAGTTTGTATGATGTCCACACTAAAGGTCTTTGACATTTGCTCCCTTTTTAACGCAATCCGAATGAAATACGGGAAAACTTTTCAAAAATAAACTTCCACTTAAAGTTTTTCTCAATAAGACAAATCGTACTGCTTAACAGTGGCGGTCGGTGCACAAGTCACAGTCCGATAGTTTCGTTTCTTCCAAGGAGTCGTTCATAAAATAAGTTCACAAATAAGGGGGAGGGAGGGGTTTTGCTTAGCGTAACGAGGTAAGACAAGGGGGAGGAGGGTCTAAGGAAATGTGTCCTTCGCAGTGCATCAATTTTATTTTAATGTTTTTCTTAACTTGGCAGTTTTTAAAATTTTTCATCACGATAGAAAGTGATTCTCATTGCTATTTTTAATCACAAGAAATCGATTACAGGGGTGGGCAAGCTTTTGTAACGTAATATTGGTTAGGGGGGGGTCACTGAAAGTGTGACTTAGCGTGACAACACGGAGAAAACTAAATTTTTATGGGAACGCAAAAATTTTCGATTGTAAATGACTGAATTTACCGTTTACTCGATTTTAACTTGTTTTTTAAAAATTATTTCAAGTTTCTTAATTATTACAACTAGTTCATCCCCCCTATCGGTTACTGTGAGCTCAAACTGTTAGCACCATTGCTTCGAGTGGTCGAAATTCACTTTTGTAAACAATTTGTTTAATCACTATCTTTGTATTAAAATTGTTTGAAAAATTACATTTAAAGGAATTGTTTGTAAATAGGTACGCAACACATCGTACACTTCAGCATAAGAAATTGCTAATACTAACTACGTAATACTACTTTGTCGTGTGCTGACAGCACTGACAATTTGTTTAATCACTTCCTTTGTGTTAAAAATTGTTTGAAAAATTACATTTAAAGGAATTATTTGTAAATAGGCATGCAACACATCGTACACTTCAGTACAAGAAATTGCTGATACTAACTACGTAATACTACTTTGCCCTGTGCCGATAGCACTAATAATTTCTTTTATATGTAATATTAATGATTTAGTAAGTACAAAGAAAAGCGATAGAATGGTTGAAAATATTTTCAGTGTTTTCCTTATTGAAAATGGTTCATCCCACAGAAGCCGAGTATTTAGTACATATTTTGTGCTATTTGTCTTTTAAACACAGTTACACAGAAGTTGCTATTCGTTTTGCGATAATTTTTTTCCGCTATTATAAAATAGTCAACTGAGGGAACATAATCCTTGTATTGAATATGTTGCTAGTTAGATTGTGTTTCGTGATGAATTTAGTATAGAGGCACACCTTTATACCACACGGACTATAAACCACTGCCTCTAAGTTCGGTGTTCGTCACTGTTAGCATGTAACCGAGTAGTTTCAAGCACGAAAGCATTGTCGTCGATGCCGTGGTAATATTAAATTAAGTTTAACTGTTGGATAAGTTCCGAACAAATTAGAAACTTACCCGGTTCGCGCGAAGTTGCTCCAATAGATCATAGTTGTTTCGGAGAGCAGTATTTCGGATTTTGTATAATTTCTTCCGAAATGCATAAATCCACCGACTAACGGAGCTCCAAACAGATATGGTAACTCTTCGCCGTGGATACAACCCTGGCGCTGAAAGGAATATTCAATATCGTGTTAAATTTATTGGGAATATATTAGTAACACTATTAAAGCATGGAAAAGACTTCATCAACTATGTGACTTCTATTATTATAAATATTCTGCAAAAGACTGAAGAAATTCGTTGTTAAAAATATGGCCTTAGGTACCTAAAAAAAACTATACAGCCATCCAATAATTTTCGTCTTTTCTTGAAGCAGAAATAAACTTCNGGATTTTATTTTTACAAATTCGGGTCTAACTTGTCATTTTTATTATTTTCGCTTACGATGCAATGGGATAGTGAGATAAATTGTAAACATCGCTTTAATATTTAAGTAAATTTTCCTTTTTCATTTCCTCCGTTAAAGGTGGAGGAAAGGGTCCAAAAAGGGAAATGTGACGTATTTTATGGACGACCCCTAAGGAATCTGTATCCTGTTACTTTACTCACATAAAATTGCGATAAATATAATATTTCAATACGTGTGCAGGATCTAACTGTGTTAAGATAAGGACTTTTGATACACGTGTCTGTTTGTAGAGTGTCGACTGATTTTCTAAAACTTTGAAATAGTCATTTCGATCTAATCTAGGTCTACCTTTACCCCTCTTAATTCCTATTTCTGTTTCTAAAATGTCTCTAATTAGCCCTCACTGTCAGTGGCGTAGCAAGGTACTAATGGGCTCGAGCACGAACTCTTTAGTATTCCAACCCCATCTTGTAATCCCACCACCCAATAGAAACGACTTTTCATGGGAAAGAACGACAGTAAACACAAATAAAAGAAATTCTATATTCAACAAGTGAAACAAATACAAAACAAAACTTTCCGAGTATTATAGACAGATACGACTAAAGAAAGGCTACAACAAACTTAGTAAAATAACATAATTATCAATATAATTCCGATATTCGTATCAATATCTCTCGCAGAATTCCCCAGTGGGATTTAACATCTTAAGGAGAACATTCTTATCGAAAAAATAACAAAAGAAAACAGTGGTGGCAAGCATCTTCACAAATAGATGAAGAGCAGCGAAACATAGAGAAGAAAAACATACCTTATTAATAATAGAACCCTCCAATATCTTACAGAATATGTTCCAGAGAATGTGCTGAACAATATGAATATTCAGCAAATACGAGCAACTAACTTGTACGTACAAAGAACATATTGGAGCAGTTGACCCGTCTCTATTTCTTCCTTATTTGAGGGCGCCTATTGAAATGTTGTACTCACTTTGTGAGTAAAACAAATCTCGATACTATTCAGAAAATAGCTTACGAGAACTTCACATAGCAAAATGTTCGATTAATTCCTCAATAATAATTTTCGATGCGATTTCTGGTTGTGTTGCTGCCAAGCAAGATTTGACGAACGCTCTTGTCCGTTGGAATCACCGATAAAGTTGCTTCGATTTTTGATTTATTGAACGTTCTTTCAGCGGTGGCTGAAAAAATTGTAAAAAGTGAGCTCCTTTTGGTCTTAGCTCCTAGCATTCGCGATTCTCCGCTCATAGATTGCTACGCCACTGTTCACTGTATTCCATTCGTGTAAGCCGTCACTGTTGGTTAATACCCTCTTCAAATTTTAATACGATATTAGAAGATTTTTTTTTAAATAATAAAGTGCACTTTTGAAATTAATAATTTGATCTCATTCTGGTTCGCTCGACCAATAATTACACTGTCAGAAGCACGACCGTGTGAAAACATTATGTTGTCAATTGGACTTTTCGAAGCTTTGAACTTGTTGTAGCATGTTTAGATAAATTGCCCTAGCAAAGTTCGACGACGGATAAAGTTCATAAATCACAAAATTTGTCAAAACGTAAACCGACCATGTGGTTTATGTTACACTTTCGTTTTGGATTTTCACTAAAATATTTCAAGGATCAGCAAGTGTTTGTCAAGCCAACGAGAAACTATCAGGTTTTTTGAATTCTTGTTGTTCCAGTTCCCCCGAAAATTTTACCCATCAACCCAATGACCGATGTATTACGAGAAGGCATGAGGGCTCCCATTACGTGCCAAATAATGGAAGGAGATCTTCCCATCACGTTCCGCTGGGAGAGGAATGGAAAGCTTATTTCCAACAACATAAGCATGGGCACATCAGTTAGAAGAATCGATGAATTTTCGTCATCTTTAATATTGGAAAAAGTAACCTCCATGCACAGCGGAAATTACACCTGTATTGCAAGTAACGTGGCTGGCGTGGAAAAGTATACGGTTCCCCTGTCAGTTAACGGTAAGTCTTCCAGAAGAAAGAGAAAAATTTTCGCGGCATGCGATATTTTGGCAATAGACCAAAGTATGGCATAAGAGTAATGTTTTGGCGAATCGTGACTGCTTCCAATACATTCCAACAACAGTTTAAATAAATTAACCTCAATGCCCCACAAGATCTCAGACCAGTATAACTGAACCCAATTTGGCAAAATTTCAATACTTTTTTGATACTATAAACTTTCTTTAGTAGGAATCTTTTCAGAAAATTTTCTTGGACTTTATAGAGTGTCATCAACATTTCTCAATTTTCTTTAGTTCCTCCACGATGGACTGTAGAACCTTCAGATTCCAACGTGGCTTCAGGTAAAGAAGCCGTCATTCACTGTCAAGCAGAAGGATATCCGCATCCAACCATAACATGGAGAAAAGCTGTAGGTGGGTATGTACAGCACTTTCCAAGAATAAGGAAAATACTTGACAGGTGCAACATAAGTATAACAATTTCGGGAACTTGTAATTTCTTTAATCCATTAAATCCATCAAAATAAATGGCACTTCTTTTTGTCAAGTCTTTGCAAAGAATTAATGTTTTTAAGTGGAAATGTTAGATTCAAGTAACTTACTGGATTAGCGTCGCAAAACTTTTGCTACACGAGCATTCAAAACCAAACTATTAATAACCTGTGGCCTCCAATTACAAATTTGATTTTTAGCTCGTTGTTTTTTCTTACAATTAATTTCCTACTACCAAAAACTTTGTTTGAATATGATTTCAAATTTCGATAAGTAATTAAAATTTCTCAAAAACTAGATTTTTTCAGTAAATCGAAATATTTAATCGTTAATCTTTAAAGAAGAAATAGTCAAGTAAGATATCCGAAAATGAAAATAGATCCATGCTCATAAAGCAGTTTAAATCAAAATGAGAAATAATAGACCCAAAGTACCGTTTGTTTTAAGGAGAACAGCATCCTGGCGAATATAAAGAGTTCATCTTCGACTCAAACATTCAGCTACAACCCAATGGTTCTATAATATTCAAACACGTGTCAAAAAACGACGAGAGCCACTACCTTTGTGAAGCAAAAAACAATATCGGAAGTGGAGTCAGTAAAGTGATCTATTTAAAGGTTAATGGTAAAATAGAAATAAACTAAATTGTTGTGACACTTTGCCTTTCAAAAACTGTTCATCATTTTCTAGCGCCAGCTCATTTTCCATACAAGACGAAACAAGTACAGGTGGTAAAAGGTGAGCAGGCTCATCTTCAGTGTTCTGCTGTTGGCGATACACCCATGGAAATAATATGGCGATTGGATGGACAACAGATTACTGATCAAGTGGACAAGAGGTACGACATAAGGGAGCAGATATTGGCAGAAGGGATGGTATCGGAATTGGGAATAGAAAGGACGATCCGTCAAGACACAGGAACATTCACATGTTTTGCTTCGAATGCTTATGGACAGGACGAGATGAATGTTCAATTGATCGTTCAAGAGATTCCGGAACCTCCGAAAAATGTCCGAGTCACGGAGCAGCTGTCTAGATCGATTGGCTTATTGTGGTCGGAACCGTATTCGGGAAACAGTCCTATCATTAATTATATAGTGCAATATAAGCTAGGATCAGGTAGGTCTAAAGGATGATATTAACACTATTAGGTCATTTATATAGTATGTTCGCTGTCTCATTCATTTATCGACGAAGAAAACGGTGTCCCTAAAGCCGGGCCCATACAACATGTCGCAGGCAATTTGGTTTTGAACAACAACTTTTTCGAGCACCAGTTGAACAAAGATTTTTATAAGAAATTCAGTTATGTGATTTCTTTAAAACATGTCTACAAAAAATAAGACATTAAGCTTTAGGTCAACTATTTATCGAATGTTCTAGAAGTGGATAGCGATTCCGAACTTATTAGTTCTCATTAGAACTTGGAACAACCCGAAGTTCCTACATAAAAAGCAATTTTGTATAACATCAAGGTACAGATAATATATCTCCGCATCTACTAATTTTTACTGCTAATTGTACTTTTTCATATTTCTAAACTTGAGTTTGGTCACTGATTTATCGATAATATGATGAAGAGCTTGGTGTCCTTTATTAAGACTAAGACCTTACTGTTCTTTATTAATTTAGTTTGCGTGTCTGCGCTAATAATAATAATAAAAGATGCCTTCATAAGGTCCTTATTACACATATGAAACACTAAAGTTTGCCGTAAATATTTTAGGTCAACGAAATTACATACTGAAAAAAAAAGAAAAGGGCAATAACTTGTGACAATAATTCCAAGTCTGACCTCTCAGGACGTCAAAATCTTTAGATTGAAATAAAACAATACAGCCAAGAGAGCAGCCATTTCTGATTAGCTATCTTTTATCACTGTAAAAAAACCCTGACATCATAATCGCTTCAGCATATCTAAATTTAAATTTGAAAATCTTGATTTTGCTTCTTTTATTTCGAGTACATATTCCAGAATAACATCGATTTGATGAATAGAAAATGAAAAATAATACTCCCATAGACGATTGCTTTTGTTTCCAGATGTGTGGCCAACACAGCCAGCGAAAGTTACTATACCAGGAACGGAAACTGCAACCACTCTTGAAAATCTGCAGCCCGCTCAAAATTATCATATCAGAATTCTTGCCGAAAATAGGCTGGGATTAAGTGAACCTAGTCAAATTATCCAAGTTAACACGCTTGAAGAAGGTAAACATAATTCATTAACCTTACTCCCGAACATAGAGATTTTTTTTAAATTAAGTAATTTATGAAAATCAAATACAAAAATTGGTATTTTTCCATTCACTTTTAGGAGTGTAAATAATGAGTAGTGCTACCCTCAATACCCACTGCTCCCGCTGGTAATTCTCTATTCACTTTTGTTGAAGAAATACCCACCTAAGGATTTTTTAGGGGGCAATACTATTCTCAGCACCCACCTCTTTAGCCGGTATTTTTCTTAAATATTCAGGTGGGTAATTACCCACCTACGGATATTTCAGGCGGGTAGTATACTATTCACAGTACGGATCTCTTCTGTCAGTATATTTCCCTTCACATTTTGCTCGGCTTTTCGGGTGGGTAATTATCCACCTACGAACTTCTCAGATGGGTGATACTACCCTCAGTACTAACCTCTTTCACCGGTACTACCATCCACATTATGCACCTCTTCCGTCAGTATTTCTCCATTTACTTTTTGCTCAAAATTTAAATTGAGTAATTATGTTACTATGAACTTTTGAGATGGGTGGTACTACCCACAATCACCACCTCTTCCACAGGCATTTCTTAATTCACTTGTTGCTCAAATTTTCAGGTGGGTAAATACCCAGTTACGAACTTTTCAGATGGGTGACACTACCCTCAGTACTAACCTCTTTCACCGTTACTACCATCCACACTGGGCACCTCTTCCGTCAGTATTTATCCATTCACTTTTTGCTCAAAATTTAAATCGAGTAATTATGTTTCTATGAACTTTTGAGATGGGTGGTACTACCCACAATCACCACCTCTTCCGCAGTTATTTCTCCATTCACTTGTTTTTCAAATTTTCAAGTGGGTAAATACCCACCTACGATTTTTTTAAATGGGTGGTAGTACCACTACAAAACCCACCTTTTCCGCCAGTCCTGTGTACTTAATGTACAACTGCTTTTTCTTCAGCACCAAGTGGATCTCCGACGGATATAAGGGCGGAAGCGAAAAGTTCGACTGAATTAGTGGTGACGTGGGAGCCTCCACCGAAGGAATCGTGGAACGGTAATCTTCTGGGTTATCATGTTGGATATCAAGAATTACCTAGTGAAAGATTGGTTTCTCCTACGCAAGGGTATGTCTTCAAAACTGTCGACGTAAGAGCGCAATACAGCGGAGAAGCTGTTCTACAAGGACTTGCCAAGTTCACATCGTACAACATCATCGTGCAGGTAAGGAAATAACAAATTAACACGGAATGATGTGCCGTTATCGAAAGGGAGCTACTGGCGTACTAATTACGTTATCACAATCTAACGATTTCTGTTGGGAATTGTACCTAATTAAGCGAACGTTAAAAGGAAATGAAACTGAGGCAAGCCACGAAATTACCTAATCAGAAACCTTTAGTATTATCCTCTTAAACAATTAGATATGTTTCAGGGAAATAAAAAATCCGTTTTTTGATTAAAAGAAAAAAAGACTTCATCAAAAATTGCACCGACAAATAGAATATTCGGGGTTTTATAGATAGAAATGGAAACAATATGAAGGGGACAGGGTAACGTTCTTATTCATAATGTATATATAGATATAACTTTCAAAACAGTATGGTATTCCGGCAAAGCCAGTCCTTTAATTAAAACCCTCAAATCTGTTAAAGTATAACAGAATATATATCGATTCAATTTAATGAATGTGATCTTTAATTTTATTTTCCTGTCAGAAACGGAATAAACAATGATAACCCCGGCGCATTCATCAATTATCGTTATGTGACAATTTTAGCTATTTGTTAGATATAGGGTGATCCTCAGCTAGAATGTTCTCGAATATCTATCACTGTCCTTAAGTAGAATGTTCTAGAATGAAGTGGATCAGAAGAATCGAGAAAGTTCTGGAATATTCGAGGAACATTATGTTTTAATGGAAGAGCTGGACATTGGCACTACATTAGGGCATTTTCATAGACGTATTTCGACAGAATTGTCCACCACTCACCCTTTTAGAATAAGTGATAATAAACCAACCGAAGTGGATTGTCGTTAGCTAGCGATGAGCAAAATTGATCTTGGTCTTGCAGTTTTGGTCTTGGTCTTTTGAAAATGAAACATCAAAACCAAAACCGAACAAACAGAACTAAGACTAAAACTAAGACCGAATAAGCAAGATCAAGACCAAATACGCAAGATTAAACTAAACATTATTGCTTCCAGTGGATTTATGAGTTAAACTGTTTGAAAAGCAACTTTAATATATTCTTTTCTTGGAATAAAGCATTTTTAGTATTTGAAATTTTCAATTTGTTTTGCTAGATTTTAACAGTAAATATAAAAAAAACTATTTGAGTCTTTTTGATCTATAAGAATGTCCCCTGAGTAAGGATTCTTTGTTTCTATGCCTGGATAACGCATAGTTGAAATATAGAGACAAACCAATTTTTTATATATCTTTTCCTTCTTATAGTACCTTGTACTATTTTGTTTGCTAAAAAGTGAATTTATGCATTGAGGGAAGGGTAAATAACTCGAATTTTCATAACCCTCAATACTATTGACACTATTTTCTTTAAAAATCATGACAAGCTCACAAAAGTATCAGATATAATGAGCAAGACCAAATGTAACACGCAATACCAAGACCAAGACCGAAACTAGACCAATACCAAGACTGGGACAGTCTTGTTTTACTCATTACTATCGTTAGCCAGATAATAAATAAAACCCACAGCTGCTCAGAGCAAAATACCCGCATTATGAACCCTCATTCATTCTCGAAAGCTAGTTGACAAATAACATTGACCTTTGCAGAGGGCTTAGCAAAATCCTAAACCGAAAGCCAATTAGAAATACTTAGCTCGTTGTTTTTTATATCGTTTTAAGGCGTACAACAGTAGAGGTTCCGGACCGGCTTCCGAGCCAATAGTTGCCCAGACTTTAGAAGATGCTCCTACACTGCCTCCTGAGAACGTTCAATGTTCTGTCCTGAGCGCACAGAGTTTGCACATATCATGGGAACCTCCGCTTCCCGGCGGACAAAATGGAATTATACAGGGATATAAAGTGACTTATCATTCAGTTAGCGAATGGACAGGTTAGAATATAACTGTTAACATCCTACCAACAAAGTATGACAACTCAGAAAGTTTCAATTTTACTGGAATTGTGTACAACAGTGGTGCCCAAACTTTTTTGGCTCTTTTTGTTTTGGGTAAATCCTCTCCTCAACCACTCCTCTCTAATATTAAATTGCTACAAAAAAAGCAATTTTCTCATCACTAAAGCTTCAAGTCATGTTTCATAAACATTTAAGTTTTGGAAACTTATTTCATACAAAATTTATGTCTAAGCATTCTTGTGGACAGCCATTTACATCTTATTACAACCCCAATTTTTGTTTTGGTTGATATAGACCCCTAGCAGTCCAAAGTCAACTCCCAGGGGTCGATAAAAACCACCTTGGGAATCACTGTTGTGCTTCTGACAGGTTTTAACTGCAGCGTACGAAATCTAGTTCATCAGTCGATTCTGTTATCGGAAAACTTTCAAGTTTTTAAACTATTTCATCTAAAACTAAACGAATTATAGTTCTTATTTTACTGCCGGCGAAAGTATCAAAGTTTTATGACACAGAATGGCAGCTAATAAACATATCTTCGGAATTCACCTATTTCCCGTTTAATAACTTCGACCTAATTTTATGACAACTACGTTTGGCTTTAATAACTTGTTTTTGCCGTTTGAACATTCAAAACACGTATCTTTACATAGTACCTAAATATAAAGCACGTACAATTCAATTTTACAATGTCTACAATTTTTAGACAATGACGATCAACAGACCAAAGTTATCCAAGCTACACGCACAACCGTAACAGGTCTTAAAAAATATACAAATTACAGTATCACAGTGTTAGCATACACTTCCAGTGGAGATGGTATTCGCTCTTTACCTATTTACTGCCACACCGAGGAAGATGGTAAAAAATAATTTGTTTGCAATAACAAATTTTTTATTTGGCGCTATATTTAGTTCCTTCGGCTCCTGCGGACATCAAGGCTGTTCCCAGTGCCCTTAATAAAATTCTCGTCTCGTGGTTGCCCCCGAAGCATAGCAATGGACCTCTAGCAGGCTACACCTTTTATATGAGTAGTTTAGAGGACGGTAGAGAAGCAGGTACGCATAAAAAGACCTTAAGTCCTACCATGGAAATGCATGAGGTCACTAGGTCACAAGAAACGGCTACGTATCAATTTTGGGTTTCCGCTTTCACAAAGGTTCGCTGCTTTATGATTTTCTCAATTTTGTTGCCTTTATTTCTGGCTATTTTTCAGAGAGGAGAAGGTGAAAGCACCCATGTCGTCACGGTAACACCATCCAGCACAATCCCTGCCAAGATAGCTTCCTTCGGGAGGGAAATAGTCAGTGCTTGGAAGCAGGACGTCATTCTTTCCTGTAAGAGCGTTGGGATTCCCCTGCCCGAAGTAAAGTGGATGCTAAACGAACTACCCCTTGAGATTGGGGGTAGAAGATCTCTAACTCCTGATAAAACTTTAACAATTAAAGACGTACAACGAATAGATCAGGCGAATTACTCATGTCATGCCGAAAATAAGCACGGCAGGGATATAATTACGTACTGGTTAAAGATTTTGGTACCACCAGATCCTCCCATTCTGAGGGTAGTGGAGACCCATTCCGATAGTGTACATCTACGATGGACTGATCAAAGAAACGGGGAATCTCCCATTCTGGGATACGTAATCAATTATAAAAGAGACCATGGAGATTGGGAAGAATTACAAATTCCAGCAAGGACAGATGAACACATTTTACGGAACTTGTGGTGTGGTACGAAATATTTACTTTATATCACTGCTATTAATAGAATTGGAACTGGTCTACCATGCGATATTGTTACTGCATATACAAAAGGAACTGGTAAGTGCAATACCAAGTAGACCGTCTTTCAAATTGGTAAACTGGTGAACTGATGCTGTCTTGATTCGGGTCTAAAGACCGTCGTCGGTCGGAGTTACAGTCCACGTCCAGCGTAGGAGATGAAAGGACCTACGAAGAGGCTCGCCACTCAGGACAACATCAGTTTAATCATCTTTATCAAATTAATATTTTGTTTGTGTTTTATCTGGTCGCAATGGTGAATTTTTTTCAGTTCCGATAAAACCGAAACAATCTCAATTATTAACTACTAATGCCACCACTGTAACCATCTGGCTCGATTCTTGGGGCGATGGCGGTTGTGGAATTTTATATTTCATGGTTGAATATAAGAAAAAACAACATCCATCGTGGCTTGTGGCGTCTAATCACATAAAACCTAATGAAAGAATTTACAGCATTCCGGACCTTTGGCCGGCAACCGAATATGAACTGAGAATTACAGCTTTAAATAATGCAGGGGAAACAATGGCTTTGTATAATTTTACGACATTAACAGTCCTAGGGGGTAAGAGAAAATGTAGTTTTTACACTGCAAAGGAAGCTTCTTTATTAAATGAATGCAACAAATCAAAGCTTATCTATATAGGGCGAAAAGCTGTTTATTCTTGCAAAGTCAATAACCCACGTTTCGTCTTTATTTATAAGACTTCAGTAAAGTGTATGCAACCCTATAACATTGTTAGTTACTAATAGTGGTTAATATGCAATATTAATTTGATATCTTTTTTTTTCGATTTTTTATTCACTATAAACATCCTCAGATTAATAAGGAAAATATTTTTGTTGCTGTCGTCACACCCCCGCCCGGAATCGAACCCGGGACCTTTGGCTTTATGCACTAATGCTCTGACCACTAAGCTACGAGAGATGACAACAGTAAAATATTTTCTTCATTAATCTAAGGAAGTTTGTAGTGGATAAAAATCGAAAAATTATTTCAAACTAATATTTCATTAAAGTGTTTTTTTTTTTTTGGTAAATACCTTGATAATGCCCTGCAAATAAGGTCGATATATCGGTTAGTGATTTAGCAAGGATTAACAACTCTTCACCCTACTTACTAGAGTAGATCAGAAAAACTAAAGTACAATTCTTAAAACTTTAAAATCATCAATGCATTAGTTTCCATTCGTATAAGTGTGGGAAAAATTTCCTTATTAAATCCGAAAAGATTTATATAAAAACAAAATAATTTTCTTCATTCCAGTTGAACCAGAAGTTATTCCTCCCGTGTCTCACTCGGAATATCAACCGTTTTATGCCAACACGAGGGTAATACTCCCTATAAGTATTTCGATAGGCATCCTGTTAGCCTTAATAGCAACCATATTTTGGAGAAAGAGTAAGTTATAAGCAATTCAAAACCCTCGGGTTTTACTTGCCCTTATCAGTGTCAACTCCCTAGTTACTTATGGGGAATTTATAAAGTATTTTATTAGTTTAGCTTATTGATTATTTTCTTTATTCGCTACAGAAATTCAGCAAGAACGAAGCAACAGAAACAACAGCGGAAATAATTTGGGGGAGTCCCCGTCTATGGCCCAAATCCAGAACAAGCAGAACCGGGATCAGCAATATCTCGCCGTAAGGGTTGGTCGTGGGCAACAGCCGCTCTCCCTAAACGATTCGGACAACACTGGCACGTACAAGACGGAATCTGCGGATTACATCGAAGATATATGTCCGTACGCGACGTTTCAGCTGTCGAAACCTTCATCGGGAGCACCAGGGCCTTACAGCGAAAGCTCTTACAGTGGAAACATCTACAGCGGTCCGTACCATTCGGTACGAGGCTCTTTTGTTTATCATGATGTAAAACCACCACCAAGTTCATCTAGTGATAAGTTTAAGTTATCAGGACATGTAAGTCTTTATTTTCATTTTTGTTTTGTTTGCCATGATTCCTTTAAGATTAATTTTTTCATACGGGAGGCATTCTTCGTCAAATCTACCCTTTCTATTTTGACTTTAACAATAGGTGTTTTGTTTGTTTTAGAAGTTATATTTTCGCTGTATGTATTTTGAAGCTTATTCTTTACACACTTTTGTCGAAAATGTAACAAGGTTTCGTTTGGTCTATTTAAACGGAATTAGAAGCTCATACAGTAAAAAAACCGCGAAGAAAGACATGAAGATGAAGTTTCTGATGAAAATAAATATTTATATTTTTTGTCTAAAAATTTACTGCATTACCAAAATAGGTACACATTCAAATCACTATTTCTTTTGGTTTTCTTATTAGATTTTAGGTTCTAATGTTTTACAGAAAAAAAAAATAGCAGTTTTTCCGTTAGAATTACTCAATTTTTGTCTAGTTCAATAATATTGAATTTTAGTGGTCGTATATGTATAATGACGTCAACTAGCCTCCATCTTTAACAAATTGACCAATTAATACGGGTAAAATCGTACAATTAAAGCGAAATGTATTCTAAACAAGTGAGTTTTTTTGTTTTTGGTTGAAAAGCGCTGGAATATTTCGTTTCTATGTTCCAAATGTAGGTATTTAAATCGCAATTACTTATAAGTATGCGCACTTGGATCGCGACAGTTACTAATAGTAAATGCCACCATAAACGGGGGACGCAGCAGTTTTAAAACCGAATTACACGGCTTTTGGATGCCATTGCACAGTTGTAACGATATTTAATTCAGTGCTTTAAAAGCTTTTTGCTATCAAACCGCCTAAAATTGCCGGATTTTAGAGTGGCAGTACTTAATGGCTAATTAGGCACATGCTGAATTATAAACGGAGCTTTTACTGAAATGGTTTTATAATGTTCTGATGGTAATTTATTCAAAACAAATAAAAAGGGTTCGTTTTGGAAACGTCTAACTTCTCCCGATCGTAATTTGCCTGTGTGGTGCGCTTCAAATTAAAACCATTTTGATATGTCAAAACAGATTACATTAACATGAATAAGCATTCTAGGATGGATAATTAGAAGCACGATGACTGAATATTTCTTAACGAACGAATGATAATATTCGTTTATTTTAATATAAACCTATAACAATAATGGGATAATTTTTCAGCTGCCCAAGGATCTAAAGGCAGTTAAAAAATTAATTTTATATCGCGATTCGCACTTTTTGGGCGCTGGAACTACAAATAAAACATTTTTTTATACAGTAGAACCTCGATAAGATTAAGACCAAGGGAAAAGTAAAATAATTTGAGTTATTGAGGTTTTTACCTACTAAGGGTTTAAGTTTAAGCTTTAAAATTATGGATTTCCAGTGACTTAGCAAACTCTTCAGCTTTTTCCTTTAGTATAGGTCCACTAACACTAATGTTTTTACATATTTCTACACTGTCTAAACCATGTAAACAACAAGCATTTTTCTAAATTAGGAAATTCAGCAATTCTTCACTTTTTACGCAGAAAACTTTCTCCCGTTTCAAACCACTTTCCACTGCTTATTGAGGTGCGATGCCCAAATTATTCGTTTAAGTTACAGAGGGTTTTTATTTTAAGTAATAGAGGTTTTGGACTCCGAGGGGAAGGGAACACAAAATTTTATGAATTTATAGAGGTTATTACGTTATCGAGGTTTAAGTTATCAAGGTTCTACTGTATATGGTGGCAAATTCACAGCCTGGATCTATCGTGGAACACCCAGTAGGAACAAAGTTTCTTACGCTATTTGACAATATTAATTATGAATTTTAGTCAAGGGATTTTGTAAAAAAAAAACACTGGCAAACATCGTGTAGATAATGAATACTTTTTCAATTGCCCAAGGATCTAAACGAAATTAAAAAGTTTCGCTTTTCAAGTAATTCGACCTTTTGGGAGCTACGACTACAAATAAAGGATTTTTTTAATATGATTCAAAATTACAGCCTGGATGTGTGGTAGGACAACCGGTAGGAACGAAGCTTCCTACGTTATTCGACAATATTAATTTTATAGATTTTACGTATACCTGTATACAGTATTTCTACAAACTACTAACAGTTTAGCTTCCGGAGCTTTTTGGAATGATTCCTATTATATTTACTAGATGACAGACTAATCGAATCTATTTCGTCAGTTCTCTCTCTCTCTCTTTGCAAGCAACAAGTAAGAGGGAGAGAGATGTCTACTAACACATTAGATTTTTGGCCAGACTCAGGGAAATTTCCCTAGACCTAGGGAATTTATAGCCAGCACTGTAAAAAAGGGATTTTTTATATTTTAATAACAAAAAGAAAAAAGACATCCTTTTTTCTGCCAAATGAATTTTTTGTTTTTTTACCAAATGAATCTCCGGGGAATTTAAGGAAATTTCGGTAAAGAAATAGTGAATAAAAACAAATTAATTCATCGCTGATTTAAGACACCATTAACCAGACCATCTGAATCGACAATGGGGGCGTGCTGATAAGGTCCAAAAACATCATAATCGCCCTCTACGTCTGGTAATTTTAATAAATTACTGACGGAGAAGTTATGCTGTTTTTATTTCTTAACGTGATTTCGAGTAATTAATCAATAAGGGGTGAAAGGGAAGTGAGATTTTTAACTAGGTAACATTTAAACCTTACCAAATCGTTATCATAGTGATTATACCTAAGTTATGAAACTATTTTTAGTTAAGTACCTGGCTAAAAAAAGCATTCATCTATATATTAAACATGATTTTTCCTATACGTCGTATTACCAGGATTTAAATAAAAAGTATGACTAACGTTATTGTTACATTTACACTTTCAAAATTTCCAATATATCATAGCCTCCTCTTTTTCAGAGTAAAGAACCTGAATATACCAAAGTTAGAAGAAAAGGAGGAAGATTAAGGGACCCTCATTCGGAAAGTCAAGGTAAAAGACTGTTTACTTAACGCGTGGCGCTTACTGCATGAAATTTTAAATTATTGTATTAGTTACATATTGCTAGTTTTAGTATAGATTTTTATTCATAATAATTATATTAAATGTAAATTGTTAAATTAAAAGGTTGTCACAAAAAGAAACCTGACTGCCCGATTTTATCGTTAAGATAGTAAATTAAAAAAGTAATAAACAATAACGTGTCTCTCGTGTTTCAGAATCTGACAACCTTGGCAGTACTGACTCGGAAGTTAAGAAGATTTTAACTTTACATATGCCTATTTCAGAGTACGATACCCTTGGCAGCGATTCCGAGGGAGACGCTGAGGGTGGTACGGCCAGTCAAGAACTTATGTCCTTTCGACAAAGGATAAGAGGTAAAATTCACCAAATTTTTTCATTACATACAACAATTTATAAAACTTACTATCGGGCTTGCATACCGAGGTTTTTACACCTCAAAAATTAGTTGTAAAGTAGGGTGGCGTCGCCGAGGGTGGGCCTAAATTATTATTATTAAAACCATTATTCCAAGGGGTTAAAGTTCAAAAAGGCGAAACGTCGGTTGGAGATCACGTAACAAATAAAGAACATTTCACCCCTTTTTGGTGGTTCCTTTTTATTGAAAAAATGTTAATATTATCAGTTGAAGAACCGATGGACAGCATCCACCAAAAAATGTAAATTTATACGGGGTTTTTATTATTTTTGCTTACGACAAAATTATTATTATAAATATTAACAAAAGTAGGTACCTTATTATATATTATTTCCTCTCCCTCTGACTAAGTATAAATAGGCGTTTATTTCAAATAAATGGGGATCGTATCGTGACACCCTAAAAAAACTGCTGGCGACGCTACTGGTCAAGTAGAACGTTTTCAAATACTTATTATTTCTTTTGTTTAATCATTTGTGCTAAGATAAATGGTAGAAATTAATTTTTTCAAAAATATCTAGGCCAAGTCAATAGACATAATTTTTCTTCCCTTTGTATCATGTAAATCAGAAGTAAGTACATAAAGAAAAGCAAAAAAAAAGAATTCGACATTATTAAAGGTGGTACAGAAGGATCGACTTCATCGTCTGAAACGTCTCCCCCGTCAGGAAGTGTCGGTAGAAAACCCTACCATCACTTCCATCATTCGCACCATCACCAACATCATCAATCGCGAAAAAACAAAGGAAAACAGTCTTCGCAATTGAGCAAGAGACACGTACGAAGTAGTAGCGGCTATTCAAGTCACAACGAAGAGACCACTTTTAGTATCTCCCACGCACCGAGCTTCAACGAAAGAATCAACCCCCCGAGCAGGTTTTCCGATATAAGTTCTAGAGATTTTAGCGAGCCCGAGTGTGAAAAAACAGCCCATCCCAATAAGAAGAATAAAGGAATGTCGAAACTTAATAGAGAAACGTTTCAAATAAACGTTTAATAAATAATAATTTAAAAGGATTATTATTAATAACTAAATAATTGTAAATGGTCCAAAGGAAAATGAAATAATATCGTTGATAGAGAGTTGAAAATCCAAGGTAAAATCTGAGATATTCTTACAGTGAAAAGTTTTTGAAATCATTTTACTAAAGTTAAAGATATACCACATACTTAATGTGCTTGCACAAAATGTTTTATTATTGTAATACGCTTTTATTAATATATTATTGATAAAAATGAAGGTTCGGAGATTACAAAAACATCTACTGTAAAATATCATCAGATAGTAGAAGCTAAAATGCACGAAATTTCCTTTCTTAAGTCAGTACAGTAGTGAAACGAAATGAGATACCTACAAAGAGATTTCTTCCTATTATTTTTAGAATATTAATTAAA